GCAATTATTTAAAAAAAAAACACCCAACACCTAACAGTACACTGAGAAAAATCGTCCTATTAAACAGAGTTCCTAACAAAATTTTAATTAATTTAAAACAAATTTTAATAACACCAAATAAAACGTTTTCTTATTCTAGATAAAACATAATTCCTGAAACATGTTTTTTATTTTTATTTAACTGAACATTTGAAATGAAATATGTTGTTAATTATTATTAATCAACCTAATACCTAAAATTTAAGTAACTATAGTTACTATGGAACCTATTAATAAAATCATTAAAATTAAGATGTTTGTTTAATAAAAATATGGATTAATAGATTTAAATAATGTGTTTAATAGGTTTAAGTAACAGGTAATTAAAATTTAGTGGACCGAAAACATCCGAACCTTTTTTCCGATTTTTGACCACAAACTCGGTCTTTTATTCGTTATCGCGGCGCACAACGTGCGTTTGAGGTTATCTGATTTGCATAGACTAGTCCAACCTGATCAGAAAAAATGCATATAATAGTAGATATTATAATAATAATAAATGTATTCCATGAAATTTGTGTATTTTTATGGTGAGTGAAGTTTAAATATGTTTTAAAAATTGCTGGAAGAGTTTAAGGAAATATTTATTCGTACCTAAGTAAGTTGTTAATAAACCTAATTTTCTTAATATTTTAGATTGAATACTCAATTAGAATCAACACCAACTGATTCTATAGAAACAACGGTTTAGTATTAAGCCCAGTAGAGAAATTTTCTAGCTTTGATTCAAGAATCTTCACTATACACTCTTCACGCACCTTCAAAACCAAGCACCTCAAAAACCGACTTGATTAGCTCATATACAACCAAAAAAATCACATTCAAAGGTTTAATTAGGTAAAATTTTTAAAATATTATGTATTATAGTTAGTTTAGTATTAATATTTTTTATTTAATGTTTTATATAAATGATTTGCTTAGTTTTTTATGTACCTACCTAATAAATTTTATATTTTTATTAAATAAACTTTTTTATTTAACCTTAATTTTAGTTTAACTTAGCACAGCTTTTTAAGGAAAAACCGATACAGAGACAACCCAACAGGAGCAACATTCCCTTTTAATAGTTTTTAAATATTTGGGGGACTCGGCTGTACAGTGTACACATGTTTGGCCAATATTTTAGAATAAGTTAAAATGGATATGTCGGCTTTTGCATGTTTGCTCCATAATTATCCTTGGTAAATATGTATTAATAAGCGTAAGTATTTAGTTAATAGAAATAACAAACAAGTTTATTTAACCCCCATATAGGTTTAATTATTTTAATTAAGCTATACCTTTAATATTAAATAAACTGCTTAATTATTCCAAGTAAAAAAAAAATAAAAATTAACATAGATTTGACAAACAAGTTTATTTAAACCCAATAACAGTTTAATTATTTTAATTAAGCTAAAGTAATAATACTGATAAAATATTTAATAAATCTAAGTGTCTTGTTTAATAAATCCAAGTGTCTTGTTTAATAAATCTAAGGTTTTATGCTTAATAAATGGTATTAAGTATTTTTCTAAAAACGTATATAGGTAATAAGTTTAATAAAAACAATTAAACGTTTCAGGAATATTTTTATTCCTAAATTAAACGGTTTAATTGTCCCATATGGTATTCAAATTCTTATTTAAATGAATTAAAATTTTAATTAATTTAATTTTTTCTTTCTCTCAGTGTAGGTTAAAAATGTGACCATTGTTACAATTAAAATAGTTTATTGAATTAACAATTAATTTGTTGTTAAATTTACAAAATTTGTATGAATAATACCATTAGTATGAGGCGCCGTTTGTGTTATAATTAATCTCTCCTATATATATTTAATTTTGCATATTTATGTATTTTTACAATATATATATATTTATTTCATATATTTATACATGTTTTCTATATATATATTTATTTTTATAAATATATATATATATATAAATAAATAAATTTATATTTAAATGTACAAATATATATTTGTATTTGGTTTTAATATATTTATAAAATTCGGCTTCACCCGTTGATCGCTAGAGGCGCTGCTCAACTGATCAAATGTGTCAACGCTGTAGCTAGGGCCTCACTGATTAAGCCAATGGGAGGTTTTGTTTACTAATTTAAAATAACGGTAAACATTGTTTTCCCTGTGTTCTCATTATTTTATGAAACAAAGATTTAATTTAAGTGTATGTTCTTTGGGTGTAGGTATCTTGGATTTAAAGCGCCTTTTAAACCGCTGTTGTATGGTTTTATTTAGGGAGACACGTAGATACTAGCAATATTCCGTTTTATTATTAATTTTAAAACACGGGGTAAATTTTTTTAACCACGCAGAGACCTAGAAGAACAAACCGTTATTTCAATTCGTAAACAAAAGCTCCTATTGGCTAATTGGGTACAGCACTTGCTACAGCGTTGCCACATTTAATAAGTTGAGCAGCGCCTCTAGCGATCAAATGGTGAAGTCGAATTTCATAAATATATTAAAAGCAACTACAAATATATATTTGTGCATTAAAATATATACAGAGATATTTATTTAAAAAAATAAATATATATATAAAAACAAATATTAAAATATGAAATACAAATACATATAAAGTAAAAAATAAATATATATTTAGTAAAAAATAAATATATATTCAAAATTATATATATATTGGAGAGTTTAATTATGGCACAAACGGCGCCTCATACATTAGGGTTTCATTAATACTACAAAACGTTTTTGTAAACGATATAGAACTGTTTTTTGGACAAATAATAATAACTATATTTATCAATGCGTTTCTGCATCTATTTTTATAAACATAACGTAAATTTACTTTATGCACGATGACATTATAATATGACAATTATAACAAAAATTCTTTGACGTAAACGTCTTTTTATAGCCCGCGGGCGTTATTATGGCCCAGCGGGCTATAATGAAACGTCAAAAATTAAAAACAACAATGTTACACCATTTGATATATTCGAAGTAAGTTTTTTCGTATAAAGATTTTGATTTTTCCGGCAGCACGCCGCAATTTTTCGCCTTTTCAGCTGCTTCCTCAATTTCATTCATCTTTAAACTTTAAAACTGACTGATGTCAGTTGACATTATAATATGACAATTATTACAAAAATTCTTTGACGTAAACGTCTTTAAAAAACAATAATACACTACTCCAAGAAATTAACGCACCACTTATTATTTTGTAAATAAAATTTTCTATCAAAGTAAATAGTACAATGTTTATATTAATTTTGAAACACCCTCGTATATGACTATTAAAAAGTGTGTAAACGTTTTTATAAGATGTTTAGTATCGCCGCGCCTCGCAGTTTTGTTAGACTTCATTTATCATCTCTATTTACTTTTTAATTTTCACTTATTGTCAAGATGCAACGGCAATCAAGAAATTTAACTCGCGATGAGTGTGCCCAAGTGGTTGTTTTAGTGCAAGAAGGTTGGAGTTTCCGCAGAATAGCTGAAAGGTTTGGTGTATCCCATACATCCATTTCTCGTATGTATCAATGGTACATGGAGACTGGTGGCCATACTAGGAGACCAGGTCAGGGTAGAAATCGTGCTACGACTCCTGCTCAAGATCGTTTTTTAAGACTTTTAACTTTGAGACAACGGTTTGTGACTACAAGAATGTTGCAGTCTTAGTTGGAAAACGTAGAAGGGGTTCGAATAAGTATTGAAACCATTCGACAACGACTTAGGGAAGATAATTTGCAACCCCGAATTCCTGCACGAGGCCCGCTCTTAACCGTGGATCATCGCAGAGCCCGGCTAAATTTTGCTAGAGAGCACGTCAACTGGGTAACAGCGGATTGGGAACGAGTTCTGTTTACAGATGAGTCTAGATTTTGTCTATACACATGTGATAGACGCGTTAGAGTGTTTCGACGGCCAAATGAAAGATATGTCCAATGTAACTTCCTTAATACGACCTTATTTGGTGGGGGCTCAATTATGGTGTGGGGAGGTATTTCTTTAACAGCACGTACCGACTTAGTGGTGATAAATAATGGCAACCTTAATGCTGAGCGTTACATTTTGAACATTCTGGAAAAACATGTTGTGCCATATGCCCCTTTTATAGGTCCAATTTTTTTACTAATGCAGGATAATGCACGACCACACACTGCCCAGGTAGTCCGAAATTATCTTCCTGCCGTTGGGATTAATGCTATGGCCTGGCCAGCTCGCAGTCCAGACCTTAACCCTATAGAACACATCTGGGACATTCTTGGGAGACGTTTAAGGGACCATCCAAACCTTTCGAATAACTTAGAGGATGTAGAGCGCCTTCTACTGGACATTTGGGAGAATTTTGACCAAAATGAAATTCGAACCCTAATTTTGAGTATAAACAGAAGATGTGAGGCTGTCATTCGTAGTAGAGGTGGAAATACTCAATATTAAGTACAATTTTTTAATTTTTATAAAAATCGTATTCTGTTAATTTTTAATTTTTTGAAAAAAACATTATTTTTAGGGATTTTTTTCTGACATTATAAATAAAAACCTATTTTTAAATAAATATACAGATAGTGTGTACCTTTATCTTTACCATTTTCAAAACATATTAAAAATAATAAATTATTTTTGGTGTGGTGCGTTAATTTTTTGGAGAAGTGTATATTAAAAATAATAATATATTAATCGTGCATAAAGTTTTGTATGCATTGCTGGCATAACTGGTTTTTATGGTCCTACGACGCTTTTCTAGCCCTCGCGCTAACGCGCTTGGGCTCGAAATAGCGCCTCGGACCATAAAAACCTTATTATGCCCTTAATACATAAATACCTATTATAATTAATGCAAATGCCATTACTGAAAGCAGCGTTTGTAGATAAATAATTTTTATAAAAATGATCTTTTTGCCGTAAAAAAAGCAATTGTTGGACGAATAGGGATCTTTACTCTATTAAGACAAACTACTTTTTTTGTTATATCTATTAAAAAAAATTCTGAGTGTACCGTTGTACTGATGTTCGATGGCTTTAATCTGGTCATCAGTGAAGGCCCAGTGACTGGCCAGCTTCTTCCACTCCTGATGTCCTAGGTGCTTGTAGGCCAATTTGTAGAGAACCTCTCTGAAACGTTCGCTGTCTCGATGTCCTCGGCCCTCGTCTTTGCTGCCTGATCTAAATTTCCTGCTCAGCTTACGCGTTAAGCCTCCGCCGGAGCTCTCTTTCCGTCCGTTGGCGCTTGGTTTGTCCTCCTAAAGAATTGCAAATAGTATAATGTTTGATTACACTGTAGGTAAATTATTAAGTCTTGAAATATCACAGCTAAACGCTCGGACAACATAATTTTTGGTCGTAGATTCCAAATCCGTGCTCGGTTTATCTGTATCAGGTCTAAATAGTTATTTGTTTTTCATGCGAGTTTTTAAGTTGCCCACGAGGCCGTTAGGCCGAGTGTGCATTAAGACGAGCTTGAAGAAAGCTTTTCTCACAAGTATAACACAATGTTTTTTCTGCGACCCTTTTACTTTTTAATATTTTTAAATACAAAACAAAATAACCTAAAAACTTTTTTGACAGCTGAATGTTAAACCATGCTTTCCGGTTCTTTTCACACAGACCTGTCACTTTTCACACAGAAATGTCACTTTACATTCGTGTTTTGCCTTGCCAATGAAAAGATTCATTTTCTAAGCAACGATGCCATCAAATTCTGTAAAAATTTGAGCTCTTAATATTAATTTTAAAAGGTCCATCATCGAATTTAAAGTTTTTCCATTGATTTAACATGGAAAAATAGTTTTTTAAGATTTATTTCGCCTGCATGCTATGTAAAACTTTTTTTTTGATAAACAATCACTGGTCCTTTTTTAACATTAAATTATCTACAAAAAATCTTACAGAGTCCAGTCTGTAATATTAATTTTAAAAGGTCCATCACTGAATTTAAAATTTTGCCATTGATTTAACATGAAAAAATAGGTTTTAAAGATTTATTTCGCCTGCATACTATGTAGAACTTTTTTTTTTAGTCCTTTTTTAGCATTAATTTATCTACAAAAAACCTTATAGAGTCCAATTTGTAGATATATTCAACTCTTTCTTTTTTATTAACGTTGAAACGTATAAATTATAAAAAAATTGATATTTTTACATTTAGCGGCTAAAGTACTAATCGTAGAGGAAAAAGTTAATTAGCAATTTTAAAGATCTTTGAATGCTCTACAAATTTGTTTTAAAATTTTTTTGCAAAATTGTCCCTAAATTTTTTTCCTACAGTGAATATTATAATAATATATTATGCATAATCATAACAATGGGATTTTAGACACTTATAACAAAAAATTGAGCAAAACGAATTTGTAGAACATTAAACGATCTTCAAAATTGCTAATTGACTTTTTTTCTACGATTTGTAGTTTAGCCGCGTTTCAACGTTAATAAAAAAGAAACAGTTGAATCTACAGACTAGTCTGTAGTCCAGCTGGACTCTGTAAGATTTCTTGTAGATAATTTAATGCTAAAAAAGGACTAGTGATTGTTTATCAAAAAAAAGTTGTACGTAGTATGCAGGCGAAATAAAACTTAAAAAATTATTTTTCCTTGTTAAATTAATGGGGAAATTTTAAATTCGATGATGGACTTTTTAAAATTTATATTAGATTGGACTAAGATTTTTTTGTAGATAATTTAATGCTAAAAAAGGACCAGTGATTGTTTATTAAAAAAAAAAGTTCTACATAGCATGCAGGCGAAATTAATATTAAAAAACTATTTTTCCATGTTAAATCAATGGGAAAACTTTAAATTCGATGATGGCTTTTAAAATTAATATTAAGAGCTCAAATTTTGACAGAATTTTTTAAAAAAGTGAAAAATTTTAAATTAGGTGATATAGTTATAAAATTAGGTTATTTTAGGTACCTATGATTTAGGTACTTGGTTAAAAAATTAATTTTGTTTTTTTTAGAACCTATAGGTTATAAAAAAGTAACAAAATTAGGTTATATAGTTAAACATTAGGTTATTATTAAATGCCTAAATTTTAGGTACTTAAATAAAAAATAAAATTAGCTGATATATTGATTTAGATGTCGATATTGTTGTAAAACCATAAATAGCTCTTATGTAGTTTTATTTCCATTATAATCGCTCTGTAAATGTCCGGCAATACAGGATTTAATTTAAACATGAAATAGTTATTAAAATAATAATAATTATTATTAATAATTTATTAACTAATATTAACTGAACAAAAATGTTTGGTTGGGTAAAAAACAAATAAAATAAAAGATTCTTTTAAAAAGTGAACATATCAAATCACAAATAATGTAAAATAGCAAAAATAACATAATAGGTAATTTATACAACAAAATTAAATTTAAAATCCTATTTATTTGTCACATACTTAAAATTTATTTTTGCTTTTATTTGAAATATGTTTTGAAATTTTTTATAATGTTATTAAATTGTTTATTTGTATTAAAATTTAAATTTTTATTTTGTTTGTTTTATTTTTAAATTTATTTTGGTAAATTGACCGGTCAAATGACCAAAAAAACAGTTTGACCGGTAAGTTCCACAACCCTAAAAATAACCGTGAAAAATATAAAAAATTAAAAATATAAACTTAGGTTTGTCAATACACACCTCCAATTGTTGGTTTACCATTTTGTAGTTATTGATTATTAAAGTTTTTAATGATCCATCTATATTATTTTATGCTTTTGAGTTTAAAACTTAAAGAGCAAAAGTAAGTGAAACTTGTTACTTTAGCCCCTGGAATTAATTAACATAAACATGGTATACAAAAATAAAAAACATTACATTTGTATTGTTATTTAATTCAAATATTTATTCAACGTAATTGGTAATTGGCCAGAGGCCTTTTTTTTAATTTAATAATGCCAAATCCAAGCGCGGCATATTCCAAATTATTGTCTGAATAAACCAAACGGTAAAGCGAGCTGAAATGAAGTTAAATGGGTAGGGCGGATTGCAAGCGGATTACATTTTAATTTACCAAGAAAACACCGGTGTACAATAAATATAACTTTAATTAGTAATAATGGCAGTATAAACATTAAACATTTACCACTTATAATTAGCTTAGCGTTCGATCTATGTTTACGATGTTTTTTATGGTGGCATTGAGAAATACAAAACATGAACTTTTTGTCACAAAATGAGATGTTTCTTTAACCTATCATCAACTTAAGTATTATTATATATTTATTTGAATTTTTGATAACTATACAAAATATAAAATATTTTTATTTATAGGATGAATTTCTGGGGTTAAAAAAATAATTAGAATAAATTATTTTTGCTGAAATGCCTATTATTTATGGTGGATACTATGTTAAGCATTAACATTTTATCTAAACGAACCTGGTTATCTTTATCCTAAATTTTGTTTGTGTGTGTTTATATCTTTTTATATGCGTTTACATAAAGGTTAACTGCCATATTTAGCCGTTTTCACTTCCCTTTGAAATGTTCTGTAGCAAAGATATTTTTATTCGTGGTCAGATCAAATTCTCTCAAATATTATTAAAGCTTTGAAAAATAAAGTAATGCATAACTTCTAAAGGCTGTGTTGAGGCTTATAATATTGATTTATATTATGTTAGAAGATACAAATATTTATTATTAACAATTAAGTTAAATACTTTTGATTTAAAATAAGGATATTAAATTTAATTAATTACGTGTTGTTTGTGTTAAACCAGTACATTTTCGCCGCAAGTGACTCAAAACTTGTGTTAAAATTGATTATTTTATTATTATTTATTTATGAGATATATTGAGTAATTTACAAAATATTGTAATAGTATACTTAGGCATATACAGGGTGTCCCAGAACTCGCGCCACAGAGAAAAAGGGAACGTACCGAAAGTAATTTGAAACACATATTTAAAAATTCAAATTGTCCAACGCAAAGGATAAGGGAGATAAGAATAAAAAACGATAGCCAATCCCAATAGATCACCACAGGGAATTCTTTAAATTGCTAGGATACAGGTTGCATTGTTGATAATAAAAAATATGTAAAATATTTGGTCCACTGGAATCCAATTCATTGTAAAACACAGACCACCAAAACAAATGGACGGATTTGTTTACGTTTAAAAAGCGAGTAAAGCATATATGCTTTATACTTTCACATTCTAAACACCGTCGAAAGAAACACGGCTTCCAACGTTGTCAGAAGTATAGATTACACGCCTTTTTGGACGTTCATCAAACATAATGAACATTAATAGATACCAGTAATTCGTTTGAATAATAAAAAAATTGTAAAAAGGATTTGTTCATCATTTTCTTTAGATATTTTTCTCTATTTAAAGAAAGTAAATCATTTAATAATTATTAAAATTAAATATTAACAACGTTGGTAAATTCGTCATATTTGACAGCATAGAAAAAGGTTATGTTCTGTGGGTTGACAGCTTGTTGTTTTGTGTTTTCGTTTGTGTATTTCTATCGTGTTTAAGTTAATTATGGAGTTTAAATACATTATTTTTTACTAAAAATAACAATACCTACATGGAAAGATCGTTTGTAAGTACCTACCTACTTATTTTTTTAATCCCAATACGTCACTGGAAGAAAACATAAAATTCTATCGCCAATTTAACGCTTAGACTGTGACCGTTTGATGACGTCACTGGAAGAAAACATAAAATTATATCTCCAATTTGACGCTTAGACTGTGACCGTTTGTTGACCGCAAACAAATCATTGTTATTGAATGGCAATGCGCCGTCAATTTGTTTTGGTGGTCTGTGTTGTAAAACTGCTGTCAATATTTACTCCTGTCATTAATATTATATTAGGTTATAAATTAAGTTATTATTGACAATGCTGTCAATCTTTACTTTTGTCATTAATATTGTATTAGGTAATAAATTAAGTTATTATAAATAATGTTTTCCTTGATGATTATACCGAAATGATAACTATTTATGGGGAGCGTGGGCGCAAAAAAAGCTAAATAAAGTACAACTGGTTTGATTTTTTACTTTAAAACATTGGCGTTCTGAAGTATCAGTCATAGATTAATAACCTCATTTTTTGAAAGCTTTTGACAACTTAGTAAATACAGTTGGCCAAAAGATTTTTAAATGTTTTTAAGACAACAATGTTCTATCGTCTCCTAGCAATTTTTAAAGCTCCTACGTTTAACCTTCGGTCATCTATGTAACCTAGGCGAGATGTCTCGGTATTGGCTGCCGCTTTTTTGCTCTCATTCGATTACACTATTACCTAGAAATTTTTTATTTTTAAATTTGGCATCTCCATTATCGGCACGCCCCCTTTTTCTCTGTGGCGCGAGTTCTGGGACACCCTGTATAATAGACCTGGGCGATTTCAGTGAATACAGTACATGTTCCATGAAATGCCTTCAGTGAATCTCATTTGCACTTCCCACAGGAGCTGTAACTAAAATTGCAATCTCGAGGAAAACACGCAAAAGCAAATCTAAAGATACACTAGGTAAATATTTAAAATCTTAATAGTAAATAAAGCATAATAAATAAGCAAACAAGAGACAGGTTTAAATTATGATATTTCCACCGAGACAATTCGGTGTTTGTTTTCCTTGAATAAGAATAATGATGATTCTGGGGTCAAGTTTAATTTAAATTTATTTGCTCTTTAATTTTTATGCACCTCTTAATTTATTTTTATTTTATATTGTCTGATAAATTAGTTTAGTTAGGTACCTATTAGCTTTTATCTACTTACATTGCATAATATTGTTTTTCCGTATATAATGATTACTTTTATAACAACCAAAATAATGAATTCAATATTTACGTTGTTATGCATCAGTGATTGGCCGATTTTAATATTTCCTGTGATTTAAACCAATCGGGTTTTAAATTGGGAAAAAGTGAGGTAAAATATGTACGATTACGCAAACCTCATCTTGGTGAATAATAGGCTGCATTATCTCCCGTATAATCATATTTAACAAACATTAAGTTAAAAAACAAGTGTCACAAAAAATTTTGACACATTTGGGATATATTTTTTTCAGTTTTAATGGTTTATATATACATATATATATATACATACAATGACTTTACAATACATGTTAAAAAATGCAGGACAATTACCTAAAATCAGAACACAATTTATGTCAAAAACAAGAAAGAATTACAAATTAAACAAGTTTTAGACAAAAAAAATTGCACACTTTATAAAAACATATAATAATATGTGATTCGGAAAGAAAAGAGGGATATCTTGTCGAAAAAAACAAATTTTAGTTATTATTTTTTTCAAATACTACACTGAACATTTTGATACCAAATTCATTATTCTTAAAAATTGTTCGAGTTAGATCTTTTGAACTTTTTTGTAAGTTGTACGGAAAGTGATTTATTTTAGGTTAATGATTAAAAATTGCCTCTCCTGCAATTTAAGCTAAGATATATTTTCCATTTCCGCATCACATATATCGGATTTATCTAAAAAATTTAAAAAAAATGCAATAAATTTAATCAAGAAATACGACACGATACGAAATACGATACTATATGCGATACGACATACGAAACGATACGATATACGATACTATATGCGATACGATGTACGAAACGATACGATATACGATACGATATACGATACGATATGCGATACGATACGATATACGATGCGGTATACCATAAAATACGATAAAATTTAAGTTTTTTAATTTTAATTTAATATATATTGCTGCGCCTTCTATTTCTATTATTAAAAAACGTTAAAAAAAATTGGCGCCTGTGATTATTTTTGCAAGGCTAGCCGAAGAAACACCTACTTTTCCGCGCGTATGGAGAAGGTCATATTCAACTTTAACATAGTGTAGAAAGAAAAATAAATCCTATATAATCCTATAAAATTGCCCTTGCTTCGTATATCCACAAACTGGAGTATACGGAACAGCCGAAAGTAAAAAATACCCCTTTGTTAGCATCATCAAATATGACTTAAATGGAACGTTAAACTAGGAATCAACTCATCAAAAAATTGAAAAAGCAATCACACTAAAAGTTATTATCCCACACTACGGTGTTTAAAATGGAAAATAAAGAAAATAAAACTCACGTGTGCCGGGTAATCTAATCTAGCAGTCTTGATAATCATATCGACGATGGCGGTAAAACTGCCGCGGGCGGCGATATACAGTGGCGTCCTGCCGCACTGCTCCCTTTGTTCGATATCGGCCCCTGCGGCCAAAAGCAGCTTGCAAATGTCCGTGTGCCCCATCTCGGCTGCGATATGAATTGGAGATTGCAGTCGCTAAAAAATAAACACGGATTTATAAAAATGTCAAAAGCTTTAAATTAACGCTGGTTATTGTTTTGTTAATTAATTTTACTTTTTTTTTTCATTATTAAAAATTGTTATTATTGTTATAATTATTTATGAATAAACAATATTTTAAAATGTTTGTTGAAAAATTTGTCCAAATCTGGATATATACACAGTAAAAAAATTATATGTATATTTAACATATTTCTTGTGTCCCAGAAAGTCCACTCAAACTTTTTAGTTTTTTTTATTTTTATTACCTTTGTTAATTTTTAACACAACCGAATGTGTAAAAGAAAATTAATATATGTTATTTTACATAACCGCAAAGTTAATTTAACAAATCGTGTTGTGTCAATTTTTTTACTTCAAATTAATAATTTTAGAGATAGTTAACAATTTCTAATATTTTAAATATTATTTAGTATCAAGAAACCTGTGACGGGTGAGTTGACGATATCTATGGTTACCACGTAATCTGTCGTATTTTTTAGGTTGTTATAAGCAATTTGTTGACTAAGTTTTTTGTAAACAAAATTACTTGTAAAAAATAGCAGTCAGTGACATAAAAAAATAGACTCTGCATAGGTAGTAACTTTTTTAAAAGTCGAATACATAAAATATTTTTTTCTACTCCCACCTTTAAAACGCCCTTTATCGTACATGTTTCCTTGACACTAAGTGACCTTTTAAATACACATTGACAAGTTGTGGCTTTACGGCGCTTTAGTCATGGGCTGAAGTTAGCAACAGATTTTTAGTCACGGGCTGAAGTTAGTTTTAAGTTAGTTGACAGTTGTCAAATGTCATACAATCGTTAAAATAAAGTGCCTTTCTTGTAAAATAATACTAAATGTGAAAATTATTTTATTATCACAATACAAAAATACAAAAATATTAAATAGTTTCTCAACGCCAATATTTGAAAAGTTTATATGAACATTGTACTGACCTTTTAATTTCGCCGGCAGTAAACTATAAATTAAATTCGGGCACGGACTCTACTGTAAAGTCCTCATAAAACATTTCCTTTACTTTTACTGTGAAAAAATGTCAATTTTTAAGATAAATTTCGATTTATAACCTTTATAATTGTGTTTATAAAATGTAAAAATGTGACATTTGACAGTTTCCCCTGTTGTTTCATTATGAAACAACAGGGGAAACTTTCATAGATGGCGCTCTATACAAATTTTTGATTTAAATCATTTTAAGATAATAATAGGTATTTGTCGTAGAAAAAGTATATGCACCTCGTTTATAAACTTTTCTATACACTCATTAATTTAAGCACTCGCTAGCAAGCTCGCTCGTGCCTAAATTAAATTCGTGTATAAAATGGCGTTTATCAAACTTGATACATAATATACTATAAATTTTCGTAAAAAAATCAATTTTTAAATGATCAGGACCAAAGATTATCTTTGATCTAGACCACAGATAAAAAAGAAGTAGGTGTGATTGTTATCATAAAAACATAAATAAAACTTCACAATTTTTAAATTTGGAGGTGTCAATTTGTTTGCGTGTAAATTTATTGTTTGCTTTGTTTATTGTATTTGTAAAATAATTATAATTATTTTCTTTATTAGGGTTAATGGATGTAATACTTTTATATCCTTGTTTGCGCGTTTTAACGAATTTTCGTGACATTGGCAATTTTAAAACCGGAAAGGCATTTTCAAAACTTGCACGATTGCATTTTACAGGAACTCTCAATAATGTACAATTAAGGTGGATTTGTGTAAACAAAAATGCACATATCAATATTTCGGATAATTGATATAAAACGTCATAAAATGACACTTTTTAACAATATTTTACATTTAAAACATGTTATAGTAAATTTCTAATTCCAGTTATACAAGGTGGTTCCTAAATGCATAGAAAAAAATTACGATGGTATTCTACTATCAAATTCATCACATACTATGAATAAAACTTTTTTCCAACTTTAACAGGTATATAAAAAATAAAAAAAAACATATACACGTTAATTTACATTTTTATCCAATTTCTTTGCTACTATGTTTTGAGTTACCAACACCTTCTTTTGTTTTTATAATGGCCGCCATAACTTTGATACATCGCTAACTTCCTTAATTTTTTTTCTATCTAACCATCTAAAATTCCAATATGGCGGCCATAGGAAAAACAAAAGATGGTGGTGGTATCTCAAAATCACAAATTGGATGGAAATGTTAATTTATGCGTATGTTTTTATGTGAAACCTACTTTTTTTTAATTCCCAACGATTTTTGGTTTTGACAGGTTATCAGTTTTTTCAGATTATTTAATTTAATGCCATTTAAATAGACTGGTAAGCTCTTAAAATAAAAAAAAGATTTCCATACATAGAAGTATACTTGGGGCAGTGGTGGCTGGTGGATTTTGGGTATACCAATATTTCATGACATTAAATAGACAAGTTCGGCGCAAACAGAATTTAAATTGAAGTTTGCAAAAAAAGTTAGTTCGCCTCACCCGCCTCCAGGCTCCCCTATTTAAGATAATTCAAATTAAAGTGGTGCAATTTATTATATACTATAAATTATCGACAAATTTAAAATTTTATTTAAAAAATCCAAATATTACAGGTTTTATACCTTTTTAAATATTTTTTTATTTTAATAAAATAAATAATAAAAATTTAAATCGAATAAAATCTGTAATATTTAGATTTATTAAATAAAATTTTAAATTTGTCAATAAATTATAGTAGATAATAAATTGCACCACTTTTATTTGAATTATATAGGGGGGCCTGGAGGCGGTTGAGGCGACAGGAAAAACTAACTTTTTTTCGCAAACTTCAATTTAAATTCTGTTTGCGCCGAACTTGTTTATTTAATGTCATTATAAACTATTATAAATTTGGTGTGGGTCCCATGTCTAATAACTGAGATATTGGTATACATAAAATCCACCAGCCGCCACTGACTTGGGGCATCCTGTATAAGGGTTTAATTTAAAAATGATTTAACTTAACTACGAGTAGTAACTGGTTAAATTAGTACAAGTATTCAAATTCCAATTTGGTACACTTGTGCCAAATACAATTATTATTAAACAAGTGATGTTTGGAGTTAAAATCAATAACTAGGTACCTACTTGATGTACTTGATGTATTTTAATTAAATTATAATTATTGGATAATTATAATTATTGGTATGTACTATATTTGTAGGTTTTAAAAGAAAATAAATTTAATGTTGAGAAACTAAGATAGAACACCCACTTTTTTGCAAATTCAACATTAATTTAGATTTATTGATGATTTTATGATGGTTAAGGCTTAGGATCGCGATGCCCACATAATTTTAAATATTTAAATTTATATTGTAAATAAATTTTCTTAACAAGCAGAATATTTTTTAAAGAATGACTTTTTGTTGTAAAATAAATAAAACAGATTTTGTTCCCATTGTGTACTCCATCCGCGGACACACTGTATGTTATTTATGCTGTGTACATTGTGCATTTTATTGATTGTTGTTTAAAACTGTTAAATTAATTACTTATTTAATTGTGTTTATTTATTATTTTAAACCCACTAATAATAATTCACAATTAAATAAGTAATTAATTTAACAGTTTACAACAAATAATAATTTAAAATAATTATTATTATTATTGGTTATTACACATGTGCAGTTCGACACGATTTTCCACCCATGAAAAATTTTAACAGATTCTAAAAAATTAAGGTTAAAAAAACGTATCATTTCTCACCGTTTCACGAAATCACGTCATTTAAATTTTTATACAGCCATTCTTATTATTTTAACCTATACAGATTTTTCAGATTCAGACAAACGCGCCAGGGCATCCCCTGGTAACACCACACATCGGCAACCTGCAATCGCGTACGTGCGTATAGTTAAAAAACTGATTAATCGGTATTTCTGGTGACGCCGTTTGATGTAAGTTTATGGGTTATCTCTGGTGTTTGGTGGTTTGTTGTATTTGCTAATTTCTTGGGGGTTGTACTTCCTAATCTCGAATTTTCAAGGTAAGTTGTACATGTTTTTTAATTGTATGTCCGCCATGCATTATCCATGTACATCTAGTACAGTAACTGTCCATGCACATCTAGTACAGTAACTGTTGCTAGTGATGAGCAGTGATGTAATGTATCGAGATACATGTATCTAGATACTGGATCTAGATACATTTTATGTACCTAGATACGTATCGAGATACTTAAAAAAATCAGAATCTACTTTAGTATCTAGATCCTTTTGAAAGTATCTAGATCCTTAGATACAAGATACATTTTATTTTACCCAACCTGATTGCAACTCCACACCGTGTGGGCCACAAATAATAAAAAGATATTTTATTTCTTTTCCCCTTCAACTCACTTTGGAGTGCGAAGTGCATAAAGTAACTCTTATGCACTAGTTTTATTTATTATTATTATTATTAAAATTTATTTCCGTTTTTCATGGATATTTCATCAATTTTATCAAAACAGTTTTATTTTATAGTTAACACGCTTGTTTATAAGGTCCAAAATTTTTTTTTTTTGTCATTTAATTTTTAAGTTTTTTTAACATAGTATCTGGAAGTAACTTAGATACTTTTTGAATGTATCTGTATCTGTACCCAGATACTTTTGGGAAAATGTATCGGTATCTGTACCCAGATACATCTCCCAGAGAGTATCTGTATCGGTACCTAGATACTGAAAAAAATGTATCGGTTACATCACTGGTGATGAGTTAGCAACTTTCTTAGAGCCTAATATCACCAACACTTCTAGTGGGTTCCTATATTATAATAGTTTCTACAGAAAACAGAACAATTTCATTTTATGGATCGAAAAACCTGTGTACACAAGACTACCAGGAGCAGTTTCCAGAATTCATTTTATTAATGTATTATACAACTAATATTTGCACAAGAATATATATATTTAAAGGAATTAGAGCTTTGATTGCATTTAATGTAGCCATTCATTAGAAACCATAACTTTATTTATGCCA